AGGCTGGGCTTGAGCAGCTGCAGAACATGGATTTGGGGTGCTCACCGTCAGCTTTGAGCCTAAGGAAGATGGGAAGTGTTCTCTGTTCACTTCACCTTTTCAGTCCCCAGTCTCAGGTGCACAGAGGCTCTCCCTGCCTCTCCCTCCACCTTCATCCCCCATGACCGGTGCATTGCATCCATCCCTGAGCACCTCCTCCTCCTCCATGCAGGGCACGCAGCACTGCTCCTGCCTGTACCTGTCCTGGCAGACACAGAGCTGGGAATCTCTGCCCTGGGATGGAGGCAGCAGCTACCCCTTCATCCTCCAGAAATCAGTGGATGGATGTGATGCCTCCCACTGCCCAAAGTGAAGGTGCAGGGGCTCAGCATCCTCGACCTGTGGGGCCCAGGATTTGGTCTGGCTGCAAGTCAGAGTCACACAGCCAATTATTGCGGGAAAGAGAATCTGCTGCTCTCCAAACAACTCCAAACAGGTTTTTTCTTCTGTCCTGCTGACACTTCCAAAGTCCTCATGCTTGGCACAGCTGCACAGTGGTGCGTTCCTGGGTTTCAGTTTTTGTTTTCCTGCTTCTGTAGCTCTTCCAGAGAGTAAGAGGTTTGGAAAACCTGCAGGTGGAAATGGCAAAGTGCAGTTAATACAGATCCTAGACGCTCTTGATTTTTATGGCCATGAGCAGTGGAGAGGAATAAAAGAAAAATGGGTGTGTGATCCTGGCTGGAAACTTCCAAGCTGCAAATAACAAGGAGGTGTTTGAGGAAACCAGGAAAACCAGCAGAGTGGTTTGCAAAGTTGTTTTCTGACTTGCTATAGTGCACAGCCTGTCACTTGAGACATCTCAGACTCTGGCTCTTGCCAAGACCAGAGGATATCAGCTACGCCTGGCATTGACTGTGCAGGAGCAGGATTTTGCCTTCCAACCAAGAACAGGATTGAGATGCTGAGGAAGGTACAGCAAAGGGCTGAGATCAAAAGTTCAGACTTCCCTGCACTTTGTTTGGCTGGTTACTGGCACAACGGCATCAGTCTGCACTTGGTGACACTTGGCACCAGTGCAAGAAGCCTCCAGCCAGGATTAGCCTTGTGTCATCAGAATGTCAGCCTGCATTTAGGTATCCAAATTAATCATGTCCCTACAGAGCAGCTGAGTAAGGGACAGATATTTGCACCTTTTCTTCCTGCTTACATTTGTTCTGGTGTCTCTCCCCTGCATGTGTCTCATCCATGTTTGCAAAGGGAGGACAAGCAGAGGGAGGAGCACACGAGCAGCAAATGCTGCAGCTGCACAGCTGATGGTCAAGCACCTGTAGAAAAAGAGTTCCAGACACAGGTGCTGTCACTTGCTGCCCCCATGAAAGGGTAGGAGGAGGGTGCTCTTGAACCTTCGAACGCTCTTCTCTACCCAGTCTGGGTGCAAAAATCTTGGCTGGGACCCCCAGCACCCCAATCCCAGCCCCGTTAGCCTCAGGAAGAAGGATTTCCCTTGAGGTCTTCCGGGAGCAGCACTGGGAAAGGACTGGCTGGGAAGCACTCCTTGCTCCAGACCTGCTCCTGCACTCAGGCAGAAGGACAAACAGCTGCTAGCCACCATCAGCTGCCCTGAGCAGCACCCAGAGCTCCTGGCACCCATCCTTGTGGCATAGCAACATCACTGCAAGGGAAATACTTTGACATCATCATTGTACATCAGTTCCTCCAGCTCCCTCTCCCTGAAGAGGAGTTCTGCCCGTACCCAAGTCCAGCTGCTCCCTCAGGCTTGCAGCAGTGATGGGTGGAGGACCTGAATGCAAGGACATGGCAACTGCATGAAGCAGGGTTGTTCATGCACTGGTAGCTCAGTGGCCTCCAATATGTTGTTGGAGTTTGGCCTGAAACAAACATTCTGCTTTTGGAGAAATCTGGCAGTCTCTCATTAGGGGTATGGGCTCTTCTCAACCCCTTCCTTTCATTTTAATATCTCAATCAAAATTAATTCAATTTTATGAAGAAAAACCTTATGTTGCTTTTGTTGAAGTGAAAACATTCTGGCTTTTTTCTAACAAAACAAATATTTTTGGCAAAGCAAATGAGTGCTTTTCTGTCTTGGGTCATACAGCCTCTGCCTGGCTGTAGCAGGACACTCCACCTCTCAATATGCTTGCATCAGTTTCCCCCTATGATTCAAGGGCAATGGTTTGAAGCTTAAAGAGGGGAGATTCAGGTTGGACATTACAAAAAAGTTATTTCCTGTGAGGGTGGTGAGACCCTGGCCCAGGTTGCCCAGGGAAGCTGTGGCTGCCCCATCCCTGGCAGTGTTGAAGGGCAGGTTGGATGGGGCTTGGAGCAGCCTGGGCTGGTGGGAGGTGTCCCTGCCCATGCAGGGGGTGGGACTGGATGATCTTTAAGGTCCCTTCCAACCCAAACCATTCTATGATTCTGTGATTCTATTTTCTTTTGTCTTTGTTTTGTAGGCCCAGTCCTAGAGTGGAAGGATTCTCATGGGAAAGGAAGGGGCCTGGCAAGGTCTGAGAACACAGATCCCAGCCTGGCTGTGGCTGGGCCCAAAGTAGAGATGAAGAATTAACAGATAAACAACAGGGTTTGTTGTTGCTTGGTGCCTTTGTGTTTTTTTCTGCTGTTTTCCTTTTATTCTCCAGTGCAAGATGTTGGAGGTGTGGCTAATGGTTAAATGACAGCAGTCAATCACTTTATTCTATAAAAGCCTGGACCCAGCTTTGACTGGGGAGACTCCTGTACACTTTCCCAGAAGGTTGTTGGAGCTTCTTCTCTCCTCTTCAGTGGGGATGCCTGCCAGAGAGATTGATTCTCAAGAATCAAGACCCACCCAGGGACACCAGCTATGGCTGGGCAAGGGTGAGAGATCACAGGATCACAGAATATTAGGGGTTGGAAGGGACCTCCAAAGATCATCAAGTCCAACCCCCCTGCCAGAGCAGGACCAAAACCAGGGCAGGTCACTCAGAAAGGCATCCAGACAGGTCTGGAAAGTCTCCAGAGAAGGAGACTCCACAGCCTCTCTGGGCAGCCTGTCCCAGGGCTCTGTCACCCTCACAGCAAAGAAGTTCTTCCTCATGTTGAGGTGGAACTTCCTGGGATTCAGTTTGCATCTATTTCTCCTCATCCTGTCATAGGGCACAAGTGACAAAAGCTTGTCCTGCCTTCTTGATGCCCTCATGTATTTATAGACATTAATTAGATCCCCCCTCAGTCTTCTATCTAGACTGAACAGCCCCAGGTCTCTCAGCCTTTCCTCCTCAGGCAGGTGTTCCAGTCCCTTCGTCATCCCTGTAGCCTCCCTTGGCCTCTCCCTGTCCCTCTTGAACTGGGGAGCCCAGAACTGGACACAACACTCCAAGCGAGGTCTCACCAGGGCCGAGTAGAGGGGGAGGAGAACCTCCCTGACCTGCTGGACACACTCCTGATGCACCCCAATATACCATGGGCCTTTATTGTCTTAATTAGTAAACTTGACATTAAGCAATTGCTCATCGTTAAGTTTTAAGATTATAGGATCCTTTAAGTCCATAGTTAGGGTCTAGACCTTATATAAAACTTGTTAATAAGTAAGTGGTCAACATTTTAATGGTTAACGTTTATTGTTTGATTCAACTACTAGTAATACATTTACTGTTGAGAATTTTTTTGCATTCTAACCTGAGCTTCTGTTCCAATCTCCACATTTCTCTACAATTTGAATGTGCTTGTGCCCTCTGAGGGATTAGGGCCCTGGTGTCATATGCAGTAGCCCTCAATCAGTGCATACACATCTCCTCTGCCATCCCGTCCTGTCTGGGACACTGACACACTCTCTGTCCCCAGGTCTGTGGTTGGCTGCCCACAGGCACAATGCTGCCCCTGCCACTACCAGGCTCTGGACAACCCGGAGCTGTCCTGTGCAGACAACAGGAGAAATGAGGTGCAGAGTGGTTTGATCTTCTACTTGATGGACTGGTGGTACCCGGGCGCTGCTCCCACGGCCCAGCTGGGTCTGGGTGAGCTGGATCCCTGCCATCATCCCCAGAGCTGGTGTCTTTGCTTTTTCTTCTGCCAGAATATGGTCCTCAGAGCTAAAATTTTATCCTTGCCCCTCTACCACAGGACTTCTGTTTGCTGCACTTGTGTCTTCAGCTCACAAATCAGCCTGCTGCACATCCATCCCAGTGGGTGTCCAGGATCATCCCCTGCCGGCGTGGCTGGCTTGGGTGTCATATGCAGTAGCCCTCAATCAGTGCATACACATCTCCTCTGCCATCCCGTCCTGTCTGGGACACTGACACACTCTCTGTCCCCAGGTCTGTGGTTGGCTGCCCACAGGCACAATGCTGCCCCTGCCACTACCAGGCTCTGGACAACCCGGAGCTGTCCTGTGCAGACAACAGGAGAAATGAGGTGCAGAGTGGTTTGATCTTCTACTTGATGGACTGGTGGTACCCGGGCGCTGCTCCCACGGCCCAGCTGGGTCTGGGTGAGCTGGATCCCTGCCATCATCCCCAGAGCTGGTGTCTTTGCTTTTTCTTCTGCCAGAATATGGTCCTCAGAGCTAAAATTTTATCCTTGCCCCTCTACCACAGGACTTCTGTTTGCTGCACTTGTGTCTTCAGCTCACAAATCAGCCTGCTGCACATCCATCCCAGTGGGTGTCCAGGATCATCCCCTGCCGGCGTGGCTGGCTTGACTGCCAGTAAAGATGCCACAAGGTGGCTGCCAAATGTGCCTGAGGACAGGCCAGCTCTGCTCAGAGCTGCTGGCCCAGGTGGAACACCTTGGCTGGTCCCAGCCCAGTGCCCTGCTGTCCCAGACCTGTCCTCTGAGCAGGGGTTCCAGCTGCTTGCAAGGCACAAGCCTCTGGGGGCTCCTCAGGGGGGAGCGGCTCTTCCAAGAGGAGAACAGACAGGGCTGCTGATAAAAAAAAAGAGCAAACACATGATAAACCACATCCCTGCTGGGGCTGCTTCTGCTAATGAAGAGCAGGGCTTTGCCCAAGTCTGAGGGCATGGAGGAAGGGCTGAGAAAACTTGGGAAAGCTGCAAAGCTGGTCCCTGAGTGGGGGGGCTCTAGCAGAAGGTCCATCTGACAATTTTGGTGAGCCCTTAGGGGCTGTTGCTCCTGTGAGGCATTTTCCCTAGGAGCAGACAGCAATCCTTGGAGGAAAGAGGCCAGGGTCTCTGGTCAGGGGACAGAAGGACATACTGCCAGTCTGGGAAGGTCTGGCAGGTCTCACAATGGTTTCAGCTCTGCACTGATGCCTGCAGCCAATACTGGGGCTCTTCGGAAAGTATTTCTGAATGACTCCCAGCCTTCATTCCCATTTTGTTCTGTTTAAATTTTTCCTCTAAGACAATCTCAGTCCTAATTGTTCTCAGATTTAGGAAACTGGCTCTTCCTGAGGCCCAGAAAACATCTTTGCTGTTTGGGACAGCATCTTTCTTGCTCACAGTGAGCTCCCTTGGCCCACATCTGTGCCTCAGGCTACTGCAGGGCTTCAGGCCAGATAGTGACTTCCTTTTTTTTAATCAGTGTGAGGTCCATGCCACCCCTCACCCATGCTGGGCGGAAACTTTTTGGCTCCAGAAATCATCTATGGTTTTTGCAGAGCCTCAGACATTTCATGGTGATGGGGAGACCCTCTGAGCATCTGTGGCATGAGATTGCTCCTGTGGACTGTCTGTCCCTCTCCACAGAGACAAAAAGACCTCTGCCATGTGGCTTCCCTGGCAGAACAGTGATGCAGTGGGGTGCAGCACCCTGGGCCTTCAGCAGCCCTGAACAGAGCTCAGGCTCTGCAACAGAAGTAGCTTTCCTTTAACAACGCATCTCTCCAGTGTCTCACTGGAGGATCTGGACTAAACCAGCTGCTAAATGCACTGTCTAAGCCCTCAGGGGGATTTGACTGCTGCCCTTGGTCTCCTCTTCACCACTCTAAAGCAAGTCAGCCAGGTCCCTGCTCTTCCCTTTGTGACTCCCATGCTCCGGGACAGGGATCTCTGTGAGGGGAGGTTTGAGCAGGGGCATTAGCTTTCTTCCAGCCAACACTTGCCAGTGAACACTGGAAATCCATCCCCCCTTGTGGGAGCCCAGTGGCTGCATTAGTGACTGGGAGCTAGAGCATTCCATCCCGAGGGCAAGACACAGAGATGCCCACTTGCCCTCTGCGCCTCTGGCACAGCCCAGTCCAGGAGGCTGCTCACATGTCCCTGCAGCACCACAGCCACGTCCTTGTTGCATCAGCCTGAGGTTGCTGCCAGGATTTGTCCATCTGCCCTGCAAAGTGTGCGAGAAAGAGCTACATGTGGGAAGGTGGGGAAATGGGCACAGGGGTTGGACCATGGGACAGGGAGGAGCTGAGCAAGAGAGGGCAGCAGGCAGGTGTGCTGCAAGATGAGCTATGGCTTGATGGCACATGTTAGAGCTGGTCCTCAGACTATGACCCTGTTAATGACATTAGCTGGAGTGACTGGATTATCTGGATGTGCTCGGGAAGGATTGTGAGCACAGAGAAGGGGCAAAACAGCCACATGGGCTGGGAAAGTTGTTAGGGTAAGGGCAGGTCTCTGCACAGCTCCCCCAGGGGTGTCCATGAAAGTTGAAACAGAAATGGAAGAGCATTTTGGGAACACCAGCATGGCCTTGGTCAGCAGGGTGCTGGCAGAGGGGACAGGCTTGTACACACACTGTCACGTGGGCACTGCCAAGAGCTGCCCTGGTCCTGGCTCTGCTTGCCCACTGGCTTGATGAAGGACTTGGCACAGGAAGAAGTGGGATGGATGGGTGGAAGGAGAGCTGGTTTTATGAGAGGAGCATGAAAAGCACTTGGCTTGTTTAGTCTAGGAAAATGAAGACTGGGAGAGAGCTGGTCTATAATTACATCTGGGAATAAACAGCAGGAGGGAGAAGAGCTATTTAGGCTAGAGGACAGTGCTGGCAAAGGAGCAGATGGCTATCAGCTGGCTGTGAACATGGTTATGCTGCAAGTGAGTGGAACCATCCCCTCCCTGCAAAAGGAGACCCTCCAGCAGCCTCTCCTGGGGTCAAGCAGGGGCAAAACACACAGCTCAGTGGAAATTTTCAGCTCAACAGCCTTGTCAAAAATCATGTTGCATCTTAATAGCCCCAAACACCTCTGTGACCCTGTGGCAGTGATGAAAGGGGAGTCCCTGGGTGGGACCAGCCACAGTGGGCAACTGGCAGGGTTATCTGAGAACACCAGAGGAATGATACTCATAGCCCCAGTGCCATCACAGCCAAGATCCCACCATGCTCATCACTGATGTAAGCTGTGATGCTGACAGGCACATCCATCCACTCAGCAGCTGTGGGTCTGGGAAGCTGGTGGGTCACCGGATGCTTAAAAAAAAAGAAACAATAACAAAAAAGAAAAGCTGGCGCAGATCCAGTTTGGCCCTGGCCCGGATTAAAAAAACAAACAAACATGACATTCCTGGTGAACTAGAAACCCTGGCACCCAGCCATTGCTGCAAATAGCCCGACTGGTTTCAAGATGGATCTTGAAAAATTTATGAGGAGGATTACCCGAGCAGTTGCCTGTGGTAGCAGGGGATGGGAATGGGTCCCTCAGGAGTGCTTCCCCGGCCAACGTTCAACCCGTGGCCACAGCCCCGTGCACAAGGACATGGACACCCTGCTGCAGCTGGGCTGGAGTGGTGGCCTGACCACCTTCCTGTGGGACTGCTCTCCTCCCTCCTGTGCCACCCAGCCCTGCTTGGTGGCCACAGAGATAGCCCTGGGAAATCATCTTTGTAAACTGAGAGGGAAGGGATAGGTGTGTGAGTCCTGGACATGCTGCTTGGGAAGGTGATGCCTTGACCACCTGAGGAACCTGAGTATACACAAGTCCATGGGACCTGATGAGATGTATCCCAGAGTACTGAAGGAATTGGCTGATGTAGTTGCCAAGCCACTCTCCATGACATTTGAAAAGTCCTGGCAGTCAGGTGAAGTCCCTGGTGACCAGAAGAAAGGAAATATTATGCCAATTTTTAAAAAGGATAGAAAGGAGGATCCTGGGAACTACCGACCTGTCAGCCTCACCTCTGTGTCTGGGAAGATCATGAAGCAGATCCTCCTAGAAGCTCTTAGAAGGCACATGGAGGACAGGGAGGTGATTCAGGATAGGCAACATGGCTTTACTAAGGGCACATCCTGCCTGACCAACCTAGTGGCTGCATTGGTGGACAAGGGAAAAGCAGTGGATGTCATCTCTGGGTTTGCAAGGCCTTTGACATCGTCCCCCACAGCATCCTTCTCTGTAAGTGTGGATGGTCTTGATGATTTGAAGGCCTTTTCCAACCTTGACGATTCCATGATTCTGTAAGTTGGAGAGATACGGATTTGATGGGTGGCCTTTTGTGGATAAGATCACATCCAGAGGGTGGTGGTCAATGGCTTGATGTCCTGATGGAGGAGAGTGACAAGTGGTGTCCCTCAGGGTTTTAAATTCTTCATTAATGACATAGGCAGTGAGATCGAGAGCACCCTCAGCAAGTTTGCCAAGGACACTAAGCTGACTGGTGTTGTCAACATGCCAGAGGTACAGGATGTCATCTGGTGGGACCTGGATAAGCTGGAGAAGTGGGCCTGTGTGAACTTCATGAGGTTTAACAAGGTCAAATGCAAGGTTCTGCACCTGGGTAGAGGCAATCCTCATTATCAACACAGATTGGGGGATGGTGTGACAGAGAGCAGCCCTGCAGACTTGGGGGAACTGGTGGATGGAAAGGTGGACATGATCCAATGATGTGAGCTTGCAGCCCAGAGGGCCAGTTGCATCCTGGGCTGCATCAGAAGAAGTGTGGCCAGCAGATCGAGGGAGGTGATTCTGCCCCTCTGCTCTGCTCTTGTGAGGCTTCACCTGGAGTAACTGTGTGCAGCTCTGGAGCCCTCAACACAAAGACATGGAGCTGTTGCAGCAAGTCCGTAGGAGGACCACACAAATGATCAGAGGGCTGGAACAGCTCTCCTATGAAAACAGACAGAGAGCTGGGATTATTTGGCCTCAAGAGGAGAAGACTGGGGAGACCGTATAGTGGCCTTTCAATCTGAAGGTGGCCTACAGGAAAGCTGGGAAGGAATTGTTGACAAGAGTGTGTAGTGATAGGATGAGGGGCAATGGTTTTAAACTAGAGGTGGGTAGATTTAGATTAGATATTAGGAGGAAGTTCTTTACTATGAGGGTGGTGAAACACTGTCAAAGGTTGCTCAGAGAGGTGGTGGAGGCGCCATCCCTGGAGACATTCAGGGTCAAGCTTGACAGGACTCAGAGAAAAGTGATCTGGTTAGAGATGTCCCTGCTTACTGCAGGGAGGTTAGACTAGATGACCTTGAAGGGTCCCTTCCAAATGAACCCATTATATGATGGTATGATTCTGTGCCATAGCCAGATCTCACAGCTGATGTAGCTGATGCTCAGGAGGGGCTCAGGGCTGGTCTCTATACAGCCAAGTCAAGGTGGTGTTCAAAAGCACCTTGCACATCACTCTTGGTCCTGTTTTGTCCTCCAGTTCCCTTCTCCCATCACCTCTTTGCTGTACCCAGAGCCTCTGCTATTCCATTTCACTTCCCCACACACTCTGGAATCAGTATTTCCCTTCACCTTCCCTTGACATGAGAACTCAGGGGGTGTCCTGCAGCACTTCACCACCTGATCCCCCTGCATGCTGCGGTTGTGCTGCCAGGTCACCCTCACCCAAGCCCTCACAGGTCTGACAGTCCCCCATCCCACATGTTCCCATGCTCCTTTCCTCTCCTCCTACCACAGTCATGTTCTGGTGGGACACTGATAAAAGCCTCTGTGAAGACAGTCCCCCCACATCCCCCTCTCCCTTTTCAGGACTGTTCTGTGCCCACAGCCAGGTTCAGGTGTGAAGCTGTTGTGCTACTTCTGTGGCTCTCAGCAGATTTTTGGCAGGAACACCACAGTCCCAGGTACTGATTTGTCCCCAGGGGGATCAGTAACAGCACTGTCATCTTTCTCAGCCAGCATTAATTATGCACATTAGGGTGAGAACCATGGACACTGGCAGAGGGACCCTGCACTTGATCTTCACCCTGCCTGTGTTGGTCAGGCTCATGGAACTTCCACTCACCTGTTCTGGGCCATCACCACCTCCCTTCTAGCTTCCTCATGTTTCTCAGGCTTCCCATAATCACCCTTCCCCATTGAAAGACATCCCTGGGCATGGTGGGAACTGTGAGCACTGTGGTCACTGCTGCTCAGCCCCTCTGAGTGTACCATGGGAGCAGACAGCAGGTGGCAGCCCCAGTGACAGCTGGTGCATGATGTGTAAGGCAAAGCACACACCTGGTGCAACGGATGCATAGCACCATGAGTAGCACCACGTGTAGCATCAGGTGTAGCACCATGTGCACACCTGCACAGCTTTCTCCTGCAAGGCCCAAAGAAGGAGCTGTGTGTCCCTGGGTGCTCCCAGTTGCACACTCTCAGGACATGTCACCAAGGGGATTCCCACCCAGCTTTACCACTCAGAGCTTTCTCCTTGTGACCTCATTGCTTCTCATTTCTTACCTGTTTCCTCTTCCCTCCCAGTTGTTTTGGACACTGTTTTGTGTTGATGGCCTGTTCCTTCCCCATGCCTCCAAGCCCACAGAAAACATGAACCAGCTCCACCAAGGCTCTTGGCCAGGCAGCTGGTTCTGAAAGAGACCTGAAATCTTGCTGACACTTGGAGGGCTCAGGGGCTCCTTCGAGCTTCTTTGGCTCAAAGCAGGTTACAGCGATGGGACACAGGGCCTTTCAAAGTGTGACATACATGGTGCTTTGGCATTCCCAAAACATAGAATCACAGAATCTTAGGGATTGGAAGGGATGTTGAAAGATCATGCAGTCCAAGCCCCCTGCCAGAGCAGAGTCACTCAGAGCACATCACACAGGAACATGTCCAGGCATGTTTGGAATGTTTCCAGAGAAGGAGACTCCACAACCTGTCTGGGCAGCCTGGCCCAGGGCTCTGTCATCCTCACAGTGAAAAAGGTTTTCTTCATGTTTTTGTGGAACCTCCTGTGCTCCAGTTTGTACCCATTGCCCCTTGTCTTATAACTGGACCTCACTGAGAAGAACCTGGCTCCATCTTCCTGACACTCACCCTTTACTTATTTATAAACATTGATGAGGTCACCCCTCAGCTAAAGCTAAAGAGACCCAACTCCCTCAGCCTTTCCTCATCAGGTAGATGTTCCACTCCATCATCTTTGTGGCTGTGTACTGGACTCTTTCCAGCAGTTCCCTGTCCTTCTTGAACTGAGGAGCCCAGAATAGGACATAATATTCCAGATGTGGCCTCACCAAGACAAAGTAGAGGGGCCAAAGAGCCTCTCTTGACCTACTAACCACACCCCTACTAATACACCTCAGGAGGCCACTGGCCTTCTTGGCCACCAGGGCATGTTGCTGGCTCATGGTTATCCTTCTGTCCACCAGGATGCTGCTAGTCCCCCCACATCCCCCTCTCCCTTTTCAGGACTGTTCTGTGCCCACAGCCAGGTTCAGGTGTGAAGCTGTTGTGCTACTTCTGTGGCTCTCAGCAGATTTTTGGCAGGAACACCACAGTCCCAGGTACTGATTTGTCCCCAGGGGGATCAGTAACAGCACTGTCATCTTTCTCAGCCAGCATTAATTATGCACATTAGGGTGAGAACCATGGACACTGGCAGAGGGACCCTGCACTTGATCTTCACCCTGCCTGTGTTGGTCAGGCTCATGGAACTTCCACTCACCTGTTCTGGGCCATCACCACCTCCCTTCTAGCTTCCTCATGTTTCTCAGGCTTCCCATAATCACCCTTCCCCATTGAAAGACATCCCTGGGCATGGTGGGAACTGTGAGCACTGTGGTCACTGCTGCTCAGCCCCTCTGAGTGTACCATGGGAGCAGACAGCAGGTGGCAGCCCCAGTGACAGCTGGTGCATGATGTGTAAGGCAAAGCACACACCTGGTGCAACGGATGCATAGCACCATGAGTAGCACCACGTGTAGCATCAGGTGTAGCACCATGTGCACACCTGCACAGCTTTCTCCTGCAAGGCCCAAAGAAGGAGCTGTGTGTCCCTGGGTGCTCCCAGTTGCACACTCTCAGGACATGTCACCAAGGGGATTCCCACCCAGCTTTACCACTCAGAGCTTTCTCCTTGTGACCTCATTGCTTCTCATTTCTTACCTGTTTCCTCTTCCCTCCCAGTTGTTTTGGACACTGTTTTGTGTTGATGGCCTGTTCCTTCCCCATGCCTCCAAGCCCACAGAAAACATGAACCAGCTCCACCAAGGCTCTTGGCCAGGCAGCTGGTTCTGAAAGAGACCTGAAATCTTGCTGACACTTGGAGGGCTCAGGGGCTCCTTCGAGCTTCTTTGGCTCAAAGCAGGTTACAGCGATGGGACACAGGGCCTTTCAAAGTGTGACATACATGGTGCTTTGGCATTCCCAAAACATAGAATCACAGAATCTTAGGGATTGGAAGGGATGTTGAAAGATCATGCAGTCCAAGCCCCCTGCCAGAGCAGAGTCACTCAGAGCACATCACACAGGAACATGTCCAGGCATGTTTGGAATGTTTCCAGAGAAGGAGACTCCACAACCTGTCTGGGCAGCCTGGCCCAGGGCTCTGTCATCCTCACAGTGAAAAAGGTTTTCTTCATGTTTTTGTGGAACCTCCTGTGCTCCAGTTTGTACCCATTGCCCCTTGTCTTATAACTGGACCTCACTGAGAAGAACCTGGCTCCATCTTCCTGACACTCACCCTTTACTTATTTATAAACATTGATGAGGTCACCCCTCAGCTAAAGCTAAAGAGACCCAACTCCCTCAGCCTTTCCTCATCAGGTAGATGTTCCACTCCATCATCTTTGTGGCTGTGTACTGGACTCTTTCCAGCAGTTCCCTGTCCTTCTTGAACTGAGGAGCCCAGAATAGGACATAATATTCCAGATGTGGCCTCACCAAGACAAAGTAGAGGGGCCAAAGAGCCTCTCTTGACCTACTAACCACACCCCTACTAATACACCTCAGGAGGCCACTGGCCTTCTTGGCCACCAGGGCATGTTGCTGGCTCATGGTTATCCTTCTGTCCACCAGGATGCTGCTCTCCAGCAGGTCAGTCCCCAAACCATGCTGGTCCATGGGGTTTTTCTTTCCCAGAAGCAAGACTCTGCACTTGTCCTTATTGGGTTACATTACATTTCTCCCTGCCCAGCTCTCCAGCCTGTCCAGGTCTCGTGAGAGGTACCTGAGAGGTAAACCTGCTCCCCAAGCACAGCAGACTTTTGTCCCCGTAACATCATCCCCTTCAGACCCCCACAGACCCCTCTTTGGGATGGGGCCTGCCTGTCTTGGTTTCACAGCTCCACAGAGTTCCCAGGTACAATGACACAAAAAAAGATTTGATCTCCTGTGTAGAAATAAGGAAATATTTTCTCTCCTTTCAGTGCCCAAGCTGCCAGAGGCCTGTGACTGTGTCCTTCCTTCCCTGAGGGACCTTCAAACATCCCTGTTCCATGCCTGCATGACATGCTTTAGCTGATGTTCAGCCCAGATAGTGAAGAACAGGGTGAAGAAGGATCACAGCAGGGTT